TCTGATCATCACACATTGGAGAATGTATATAGGTCTTTTGTGTGTGTGGAGGAGCTGGGAGGTGTTCGTGGTGGAGATCAAACCCAAGGCTTCATGCATACTATGCAAGTGCTCTACTGAGACCAGCTAGGAGGACCTGATCTTCCCCAAGAGGACACCTTCCCTTCCTCTTTTCCTCTGAGAAAGCCCTAGCTAAAGAGTAAGTGCTGCACTGAATTTACAGGAAAAGAATGCAAACTTTGTATTGACTTTGGGATTCTCTAAAGAATCAAGGTTTTCATTCCTTATGGGTGATACACAACAGGCAAAGTTCTTTGCAACCTGAATTTGAACACTCCACGAGGTTAGAGACTGCCTGGGACCCAGCTGTCAAGCCCCTCACTCAGGCTCAGCAGCTCAGCCACAGCCACTGCCTTGAGGTATAACACAGCGGGCCCCTCAGGTCAGGCAGTGATTGGGTCCATATGGAAGGAGGGGCTGCTGCTTTATCTGTGGCCCTCAAGTCTGGGTGAACCCTGATTATCACTGCCTCAGCCTCTGGAGACTTATCAGAAGCAGCAGCAACACCACCTTCAGCCCTGGTCCTTCCTCAGAAGCTGCAATAGCTGTCAATCAAGAAGCTGATTTTTAGTGTATCATAACAACTAACAACTATATCACATGCCTCTCGGCACTGTAGGATTCTCCACTTCAGCTGTAGCAGCTTAATAAGACCTGCAGCCACCCAGAAAACTCTGCACTGTGGCCACTCCAGATGTTTCAGCCCACCTTCAGATATCCGCACCTGGTTGGTGAGGAGCACCTACCCCACCCCTGAGAGCCAGAGCAGGTAGCTCCAGCACACTTCGGTAGGCTGACACAACTGAGCAGAAAATCTGTGGTTAACAAGCAGGAAACATGCACATACAATGTCCTCCCCTTCTCTAGCCACATAAGCAATCCTTTCACTCTCACAGGCCAGTCTGGGACATCCATCCTGCACACCGCCTCCTGTGTTGCAGCATAGGCCTACCCAAAACCTTATTTTGATGGCTTTATCACTTACACATGATTTCTATCTCTCATAGAGTAAGCTGAGATGATTGCTATAAGTGTTGGTAACAGCAAGGGGTGCCAGCCCTGCAAATACCTGGAAGCCAGAGCACTACTGAAAAGCTACAGAGAGCTGCGGAGAGTTGTGGAAGAGCTACAGAAGAGCTGCTAGAAGCTACTAGAAGCCACCAGAAGAGCTCTAGGGAGCCACCAGGAGCTACTAGCTCTGACTACTGAGGAGCCATCAAGAGCAGCTGGGAGAGCTGTTAACACCAGCTGTTGGGAGCTGCTGATACCCAGGGCATAGGGTTCTACTAAGAGCTGAGAGCTACTGTTACTCAAAGTTCAGAGCTATATAAGAGCAGAAAATTACTGGTGCTGACACCTGAGAGCTGGTAACATTAAGAAAGCTGCACTTTGTCTAGCAGTGATTCTTATCCAAATTGGGCAAAGGAATCCTGACCCAATTCGTAGCAATACCAATGAGACATATCTCCAGCCCTTGATAGTTTCTTGATTATAGTTCTAATGAAACAAAAAGATTCTTAAGTGAGTTATGAATCTAGCAATATGTCATGCTCTATAACATTTAGTATTAATTGGAAATTGGCAATCTAGGTACAGTAATTTTATGGAAAAGGTAATTTTCTATAGTGCTTAAAATGATGATACTAGTAATGGGGAGAGAAAAGGCAAAAATCAAGAGGATAAAATGAAGGAAAGTTGATTCTGTGCTAGCTTCAGAAGGGAACTTAATTCAGCCTCAGAGCACTATGAGGTTATTTCAAGGTCTGATTATAGCAGTTTCCAATTATAGAAATATTTTGGTGACATCTCACATCTTGTAGGTAGAATTAGGAACTTTGTGTTGGAGAATAATACAGGTTATTCTTATCAGCAAGAGAAGTGTTAACCCCTGCTCCCATGTATTAGTCAGGTCACTATCACAAAATACCTCAAAGGTGAAGATGTTTACTTAGCTCGCAGTTCTGGAGCCTGGAAGTCTGAGCACAGCACAGGCTCTGGCAGGGACCACCCCTTGGCTGTTTCACCTCTTGGCAATTGCAATAGTGAGAGGATGAGAAAGTATCATATCTAGAGCAGGAAGCCAGAGAACTGGGTGGGGCCAGGCTTACTTCATAACAGCCTTCTCCTGAGAACTAATAGGTTCCCATGAGAAAATACCTTCATTTCTTCCAAGGGCAGTAAGCTCAGTGACCCACAGACCTCACAGTAGGCCCCAGCTCTTAAAATTTCCACCACCACCACCCCCATGCCATGCTGGGGACCCAAGCTAAAGACACAGGAACCTCTGGGGAGAAAAACAACGTTGAAAACATAGCACCCCAGGCAAAATGTTTACTTCTACCCATCAAAAAATTACAGGAGGTACTTTTTAGTGAAAGGAAAATATATAATCAACAAAATTAAAAATCAAATACAACTTCTCTATAATAGACCCATGACATTAGAGCCCAGAGTTAAGAACTATAGGGGGAAAATAATCCCCACAAATTCTTAGGTGGAACAAAACTCTGTTACAAAAGTTAGATTAGTAAAACAAAACAAAGTATAGACAGGTGACAAGACAAAGGAGAAGAACTGGGTCTATAAGGGTGGCAAGTTGGAGAAAAGTGAGTAACTGGCAGATAAAGGATAGTTAGGAAAACATGTAAAGTTCTTCTAGGAGCATCTCCAAGCCAATAATGGCCCCAAATGGTCTTCAGTAGTTAATCTATGCTTTCCCTGGCTGGGGGAAAGGGAGGTGCAGGAACTTTCATCTTCGTAAAACCTGTGCTCTAGTTTTAGGCAGATATAGGGAAAGCAAAGAGCTTTCCTGCATCTGCTCCTTCTTAATTTTCTCCAGCTCAACAGTACTTCTTATGTTGGAACAACATATTCTGGTCTCCCACAGAAGAGAAATCTAATATAAAATATCACACAAACTGCATTGGCTGCTAAAAACATTGAATTTTATCTGACCCCTATGGCCCTGGATAACAGTGATGGTCAAGAAACACTACATTCTTTTATATTTCAAAAAAAACGCTTACTTCAATGACTAACTGTGTATGATTTATAGACAACCCACAGATGACCCCTTTATCTACCTATGACAAGACTAGATACAGACTTTCTGGCTTCCCACTGTTTGTCTTCTAACTGATAACTGAACTGTTTGTACCCACTGACCAATATGGACAGAATACTGTTAACTTAAATTTTAGACCTCTCTCCTTCTTTAGGGTTAGAACTTCAGCTTACCCTTGAGCTTAGATGAGCATGAGGAGCTAAGGGAAGCACTGGAAGGCAGAACAAAATCTTCTAAACAACCTCTCCTAAGAATCACCTAACCACAAGAAAAGACATTTCAGGGCCAGGGATTTAGCTCAGTGGTTTTGTGCAAGCTCAAGGACCTGAGTTCGATCCCCAGTACCAAGAAAAAAAAAGAAAAGACATTTCTGCTCAACTGTCCCATCACATCTCCTGCTGATCCCACCCCTATTCTTTCTACCCTTGTTTATTCTTTCCTATTAATTTTTCAAGAGAACTCTTTCTGCCTGAACTTTAAGACATTTCTAGATATTATGATCAGAGCATTTACTGAAATAGTGGCTTTCCCCCTATTGTGATAGGCCCTCATTCCCAATTGCAATAGTCTGTTCAAGTAAAGTCTCTCCTTGCCATGTCTTTGTTTTTTGTAACACTGCTTAAAGATAGTTTCTAATACTTTTTTAGAACTATATTTCTCCTATCTCATATTTGCTTTATTTATGATTTCCATTTTATAGATTTTAAGTATTCATCCTTGAATCAGAAGCCACATAGGTAGAGAGATCAAATCCTTTAAGGGTATTAACAAGCCTCCCACACAACTCTTGGGTTAAAATGGAAATGAATAGGTAGGAGGGCTCCTTCAATATGCAAACTCCTCCAGATAATCAATTCTATTTTAATATCATGCTGGCTGCAGAATCACAGCTTCTGGGACATTTTAATTCACTTCCAGCTAATGCCTGGGGTGCTAGTCCATAACAAAGAGAAAAGAAAAAAGTAGATAAAACTAAAATATTTCATTAGATCACAGCAAGTTAAAAGCCTGGTTCACTTTAAATTTCACAGAATATCTTTGTCATCTTATTCCTGAACTGGCCCAAATAAAAGGTTTTTAAGTGTTAACAAACTATCATCTTTGTATTCTTGCAAACACTTATGCTGTCCTCTGAGGTTCAATAACATTTTCAAAAACAAAAGTGAGTGCAGGTAGGCTGGCAAAAGTTTTCTGTATTTAGTTTTTTGACACGTGAACTTAGTAACAGATAAAGTCATATGTAAGTTAAGAATTTCATGTTAAAATTATGCACAATTGATTGCTCACTGAAATCATAGCTAACATTGAATATCCAGGCTACATGGTGCAAATTTTCTCAGGGTACATTTGCCGGCTTTTTGCTCTGAAATTTTTGGTGTACATTGTCATCATTAGCAGGATACAGAGGCCATTGAGAAATGTCTTAACAACTGACTTTAGGAGAAGGGAGTAGGGCCTCATGTATAGTACTTGCCAATTTCCATTGCATAAATATTCCCACCATGATTTCATTTCATTGTGTCTATAGTTACAGTTGAGGAAGAGATACTCAGTGACACACAGCTAAATGTAGGATTTCTATCACAATAAATGGAAATAAATTCAAAAGCACAGATACAAGTAAAATGTAGTCAACTATAAGTTTCTTTTTTTTTTTTTTTTTTTGGTACCGGAGATTGAACTCCAGTCCTTGTGCTTACAAGGCAGGCACCAGAACCACTGAGCTAAATCCCTGGCCCCTAGGAAACAATAAGTTTCAAGGAGTATACATTACCTTTGTTTTAATATGACTCTTACATTTAGAGCAGCTTTTTCACATTAAAGTTTATAGCAGCTTTATTACAGTCAACAAAACTAGAATCCAAATATCCTTTGTCAGGTGGATGCAAACAAACCAGCAAAAAGCAGCAACATGGATAAATCTCAAAGACATTTTGCCCAGAGAAAGTGTCAGTCTTATGAGGTCACACTATGCATCATGAAGTTTACATAACACCATGGAGAAAGCAAATTCACAGAAGCAGAGAAGAGATCAGTATTTGCCAGGGGCTGGGTGTGATGAAGGCCTGACTACAAAGTATGTGGGAGAATTTCAGGGTGTCGGAACTGCTCTGGGTTCTGTGATGTGGACTACATAAAACTAGATGTGTATCAAGACTCACAGGACTGTCCACCTGCCATGGCCTGTGTGGCTGAAGGGTCCACTAGTGAAATGACGGTGGGAGATTGAGAAAAGGTAAAGAAAGAAAGTTACAAAAGAACAAAGAGAAACAAAGGTGGGGGGCCAGCTGGGGCTCTAACTCCTGATGGGAGAAGAAGACCCCAGGCAAATGCAGCATGTTTATTTATATTGGTAGAGATAAGGGAAGTGTAGGGTGAGGTAAAAGGACCTTGTCTGTAACTGGAGCCAAGAGAGTAGCTAAGGCCCACAGGACCCCATGCTTGATAGTTTTCTGGAGAATGGGAGGGAAGGAAGACAGTCCTCTTCTTGACCAGGCCTTGCTCCACCACCCTCTTGTCACCTGTTCTCCTCCTGCTGGGCCCTGCCTCATCTGTGAGAGGGAGCAAACAAGGCATGTTCTTCATTCCATGTTCCATGCGGGGCCCTGCCTCACCTGCGGGAGGAGAAGAGTTAGGCCTGGCCATAATGATCTACAGTGCAGTGCTCCCAGCACACACCCAAAAAAGTTAACGTCATGCTACCATATTTTTAAGTATATATCCTCCCCCAAAAAATTTAATGTACACCCAAATAAATTTCTCTTTAAAAGTGCTTTCAAAAAAATTGTCTACCTGGATTTCTGCCAGAAAAGCTGCTTTGGAAAGCTCTGCCACACCAATATTCTCTGGGTCTATTTTTCATCTGTAAAACAAGAAGATCAATCTAGAGCAGTGATTTCTCATCCTTCCCTCTCCAAATCATGTCTCTGGGCACTCCCTCTGTGGAAATGGATATGTTTGAAAAGCAAGGGCTTTCAGCCTCCACTGGGCTCTGCATCCACAGCTCTGCATCTGCCAGAGCCACTGTGCTTTTGTTTATAGCGTATCTTATTTCCCTGCTGACTTCTGGATTAGAATAGCTGGTCCTGAGCTGCATCCCTGGGTACCTGAGGAGTCTGAACAATCTCCAATACCAGGGGCTACTGCTGAGGCCAACACAATGCCCCTTGAGCCAGAGCCCCTGTGGATCCCAGTGGTTAGCCAGACCAAGGCACTGGTGGTCAGGCTCAGTCTCTCAATACACAGTAGAAATTCTGAAAGGCTGTAAAGTCTAGCCATCACTGAAATGGGGTTTGAAAGGATCTTAACCATTTTCTACCTCTCACTGGATGATTTCTTAAAAGAACACTTTGCAAACAATAAAGGTTGGCATGCATAGGGGGAAGAACATTGCTGTGAGAGTGAGTGTACTAACTCAGAAGTAGCAGAGCAAAGAGTCTCATTCCTAGCAAGAGATGCCCTTTAAGCAAGTGCCATAGGCCAGGCCCACTGTTAGTGATCATTTAATCCATGCAGCCTTGTGAAACAAAGACTACCACTGCTTTGACTGGTAAAGGAACTGAACTTTTGAAAGGTCTCAGGTCACAAGGATCAAGGATGACAGAGATGACGGAACCAGGTCCAACCTTCCCCCCCAGAGCTAATAACATGAAACCCTGAAGACCACCATCAAGCCTGCTATGTTAGCGTGTATCTTAGAGAGGAGACTCAGGGCACCTTCCTCAAAGGCTAGTGGGAGGTTGCTGAAGGCACCTAAAGTCCTTACAACCTGAAACCACAATTTAGAAAACTTTTTAAAAAATTTTTATCCTGAAAGGCTTTCTTCAAAAGCTATCCTATGCTTAAGTCCAATCTAGAAGACAAGCCTGAAGGTGGTTGAAGGTAGGAGTGAAGGTAGCCCAAGGTCCCAGAGCTCTCGGAATACATTTGGAGGCCACTTACCCACTTATCTAGTACTTAATAGGGAGATACAGAGGGTGCTATGGTGCCAACGTCTCGGGCTTTGCTTTCCAAGCCATAGGTGGGCTTCCAGCTGACTTGCTCCCAGGGGTTAACCTGGGGGACTGCTATCAGGTCCCAGCCCTGCTGCATGCCTGAGACTCTACGGGCAGGGCCATCCGAGTGGGTCCCACCTGTCCACCTCCTCTCTGACCAGGCCCCAGCAGTCATGACCTGGCACTGCCAAAATAGGAATCTCATGTTCACCATCTCATATTTAGTGAGCCTTGTTCTTCAAAGACACGGATCCTAAGGTTAAAACCTGCAGTAACCTTCCCTTTTTTCTTGCCCCTATGAAAGACATTGTCTAATTTTCTACAGCAACAGCTGCCGCAGAGCATTGCACCTCAGAGCCTCGCGCGGATCAACGGCAAACCACTCATCTCGTGCGAGGGCGGGGGGCGCCCACTTTGCCTAGCAGCTTGGCTCAGATCAAACCGACGTCTTCATGGATGTCAGGGATCCCACCTGCCAGGTTCTGGCCAAGGCATTGTTGGACGGGACGATGGGCATCAGCATGGACACGGCTGGTATTTCATGAGATATGCGAGACACAGGGGGCGCAGGGCGGCAGCAAGTGCTTGCGTGGGGCACGGTGAGGGCGCAGCGAGGCCCGCACAGGGTGTCTTCGCATCGGCTTGACACAGGGGAGCCGGAGATCTGGACCCTGGACAGCATGAACTTGTTGCTGGCGCTTACCTGGTTGCTGCTGTATTACAGGCTGCTGGTGATCTGAGTTGCCGCTGGCCGACGGGCTGCACTGGAGGGACAGTGGCCAGCCAGGGGCAAAACAAGCATCTTTCTGTGGGGATGAGTCCGCAGAAAACTCCCAACCCTCAGCCAGCGGTTGGGTCAGGCAGCAGCCAGCGGCAAAGTCTCCAGAAAAGATCAGAGAAAGAGAAGACGGCTTACAATCTCGGAGCTCCAGGTCCTGCCAGTGAATCCTCAGCGGCCATGCAGGCAGGAATCCAGCAGGCCTGGCCCCGACCTGGCCCCGCACCTCCTTATCTGAAGCTGGTATCTTAGGCAGCCCTCATGGTGAAGTCTGTATTGAATTTTGCTGAGCATTTTAAATAAAATTCAGTGACTTCCTCCAAATTTCTTAGAGTCTGAAATGTAGTTCACTATGTCCTCTAAGCACAAACAGAAGAAAATCCTACCATATTAGGTATGAAATTCAGAACAATGACTATTGAAAGTGAGAGGTTTCAGCATTGGAGTGGATCCTAACGGAAATACTCTAAAAAGGGGAACATCCTGGTTACCTGGACATTTGAGTAAGGACTACCCATCAGCTCTCTGATATTTAGGCTCCAACAGGCAAATGAAGGATTCCCCAAAACCAATGTGGAAGTCAGAGGAGATATGTCTTCAATTGCCTAGAAAGTTTTATTGACTCTTCAGGAGGCATCCATGCCTTCATAAAAACAAATCCTCCCATTGAATCACTGTCAAGCGCCTCAGCAGGTGCTGGCTTGCTGGTGAGGTAATTATTCCTTGGGATTTATGATTTGCCAAGCACAGCACAGAGGCTTCCTTCAGAGGGGCATGGCTGTGCCAAGACCTCATACCCGCTAACCCCTCAATTTTGGATTCCTAGCCTCCAGAACTGTGAGAGAATAGAGCTCTGCTATTTTACACCACTCAATTTATGGTACTCTGTTATGTTTTCACTAGGAAACAAATACACCTCTCCAAATCTTTGACTCTTGAAAATATACCTTAATCAAGGAAATGAGAGGGGCAATATTATAGGGACAGCCTTGAATTCACTCTAAAAACAAAATTATTTCCCAAATCTCATGATTTGAAATGGAATTTGTAAACAACTCACAGCACATTTCCCAATGAAGCACATACATCCAAGCAATCTACTGCCAGACCCAGGAAGTGTTAATCCCACTGGTTACTTTCACTTTACTAAGAAAATGGAGAGCCAAGAGGCCAAATGGCTCCCCAAAGTGACAGAGAAGCTTCCCTGTGTGTTCTTCCTCATGCCTGGCCCACTTTGTTCTAGCCAACTCCTTTGAGCACAGGTAAAGAAAGACCACATGAAGAATGCAAAAGACACTTGATCATTGCTTATATCAGTCCCCAAATGTCACCCTCTGACTCCAGTTTAAATCATTTCTCGCAGGATAGGTGAAGGTTGAAGCTTCCATAAGCAATTCTGCTCATAACTCTGCCTTTGAAGGCTGATAAAGTGATTCATTTAGGCTGCTGTACAAACTGAGTAACTATTCAGCGTGCTAGAATTGGGATGTGACACAATATCTGTGTCAGGGCATAGATCTTGGGCAGGGGAGGGAGAGCACCAGAATGCTATTGCTGTGAAAAGACTCAGACTGATTATTAAACCCTCCTTGAATAGGAAAATCAAGATCTTGATGGGTCATCAAGAAGGCTACAATATAACTTTGAAGTGTGTAGTTTCTCTGAACCTCAAACAAAACTCTTATGCAATCTTCAAAGACAGCCAAGATAAAATGTCAAAAACTGGAACATGAAGAATTTATAAGTGTAATTAGCTAATATCTTTAGCCTGAACAGATGTCCTTCTGGTTAAGATGACCTTCCAACAAGAGGAGTTTGCTGGCCTAGATTTTTCAGCATAATAATCTCATTTGTTTGCTATCTGCCTGCTAATTTAGTTTTCATTCATGTTCCTGAAAGTAATAAATCTAATACATTTTAGACAAAAATCAACAAAGTTACATGAAAAAAAGAAACTCATCTGCCAATGAAAAGCTCCTATCTACTTGTATTAGAATGTGGAGACTAGCACAAATAAGCTTTGAAACAGCACCTCAAAGGGGACCCAAATTATTCACAAGTGAACAAGTACTGGAGTTTGAGACTAAAAACCTGAGCTATAACAGGATAAGCTCATTGAGACAGACACTAGAAGAGGAAATAGGGAGCTGTGCTGGGAGATGACCAAGACGAGCAAAGCCAGCAGATCAGAATTCTATTCTCAACAACCACTGCAGTATCTATATGAAAGAAAAATGAAAAATAGGAAGGCTAGGAGCCAGGCAGAAAGAAGATCAGGAACAGAATTGAGAGGAAGCAAGGAGAGTATAGACAATAGCTTTTAATGAAATAAACTCTTAATGTGCTGAACTGGATTAAAGCTGTGACAGGTATTTTTCTTTTTCCTCTTTTTTTTTGTTGTTGTTGTTTTGTTTGTATGTTTGTTTGTATGTTTGTAGTGCTTGGGATGGAATCCAAGACTTCACACATGTAAGACAAGTGCTGTACTGCTGAGCTGCATCCCCAGTCCAATAAGATTTTTTTTCTTAATGCACATAGCATTAAGAATATTAAGAGTTTATAGGAAACCAGAAGGATGACTTGAGGCCTGCCAAATAATGTCTTCTCCAAACTGCTTTCCTCCCTAGCCACTCATATTTCCTGTTACTTCTTCTAGTCTGTAAATGTGCCTCTCCTGCCCACAACTCTGTTAAGCAATCCAAGTATGTGTAGTCCACTTTATTATTATGACTGAGGAGATCAAAAGTAGACAGGTGACCAAAGAGGGGGCAATCCATTGTCTAAGCAGCACCAATCAGAATACTTCTTCAAGAATTAAAATTGAGAGACATCCCAGCTGTATTCGGTGGGTACACTACCATTGAACTAGAGAGCCAAGTGGACAATGACTGAGCTCACCATTTTGATGCAGGCAAATGTGTTACTGGAGAATCCAATCTGCCAAAAAACAGAATAGACAGGCATAAGGAAAGTTGTGTTTAAGACCCTTGGTCCAAGAAAGAATGACAGTACCACAGGGAGAGTAGCCACCTTAGGTATCTGATGGAAGAGTAATCTTCAGTCACAATTTTCATAAAATACTTTTATTTTATTCTTTATTTCGTGAGGTTTCCTTTTGTTGAATTGTGGCAGGAGGAACATGACTAATTATTTCCCTAAGTTATTCTTACTGTTTTCAGAAATCCCTTAGGTAAGAAGAGCTGTCATCTAGAGAAAAAATACAACTCTGGGAAAAGAAGGGATGCTAAGAAAAAATTATAAAAAATTATACTCTAAAACAATGCATATGCAAAACACATCTACGTATAAAATAACATAAATATTAGATTCATTGCTGTCAAATTAACAAGCTACACTGTTGCCTTTGTAAAGTCTGTAGTTGGCTTTGCTCACAGGTAGCAACTGTTCAGAGTGATCCCAGATTTAACTGATATGTATACCTTTTACATTTCTCTTTCTTATTCCTCAAAATAATAAGGAATATTCTGAATTTTACCTAATGGAAAGGTAGTGATATCTATTCTTTTCTATAATTGAATTCTAGATGAGAAAAGCTGAGGAGGCAAGGTTAAAAAAATAAAAAAGATGAGGGGGGCAATTTCATCATTTTCACAAAAAAAAGTAGATCATTTTGCCCCTGAACTTTCAGTGAAAGGTAAGATTCCAAAAGGAGAATTACACTATAAAAAGAACATACTTGGTGTTTTTTGGCTGCAACACACAGAATTACAATACTAAAAAAAGAAGTATAACCAGAGACCTAGATTACTAGGCATCTTCAGCATTGACATGAGGCCCAAAAAATAATCACCCTAATAAAATCATATTTAAATAACTATTTAAAACAATACTGAAAACATAAATATGTCATTGAAATTGTAAAAATGCTTTTTTAACTTCAGAATAGGAAAAACATCTTTAGAAGAAAATTGAGATCTAAAATCTAGCAACTGCATCCTGCAAAGAAAACAGCAGTCTGGCAGGTTGTCATTGCTTTTACCACATACAGCACAGACCAGCTATCAGGATGGGTTAGCACAAAGCAGTTCCTTCCAGAAAAACCAGACCACAGCCATGATGATTCAAACCAACTAACAAAATACAAGCTAGGAAAGAGAAAATGATGTTTTTCAGCATGTTTTCACTTTTAAAGGTCATTTGTACTGCTTCCACAGAAGTGATACTTTTGTGGTTAATTTTATATGTTTGCCTTAGTAGTTTATTTTGTAGATGGAAAAAGGCTTCAAATTAAGAATTAAATCTTATAAACAAATCATTCTTTAGGAGAGGCTGTTTATATCAACTCTGGTTACCAGAATTTTAAGTGCCATGTGTAGAAAAGGTTCACTAATTATGGTTATCTAAATACATCTGGGTGGCATATTTAACTCTTAAACAGAAAATAACAAAAAAGAACAAAAAGAGAGGTGGAAAGAAGTCCAAATGCTGAAATGGAAACTGTACATCTAGTATTTAGTGGCT